ATCACCTTAACATGGCATTTCAATCTGAAAGACGTACACCACATTTGACTTTAAAAAAATATTCGTGAAGTTAAAAAGCTGAAATGTCCACGTCATGTTGTTCCAGCTCTCCGAGAGTTTATAAACTCACCAAGCGATTACATCGATCGGAAATTTCACGAGGTCTGCACGCTATAATAAGTACCTGGGCAGGATATGGGAGGCGAGTGTGTGGGTCACCGCCACATTACCGTGTTCCCATGAGAAGAGAAGGTGGAAGGGGCCTCAAATAACGATTTTTGTACAGGCGCTAAGAACGGCTGTAAGATCAAGTGGCAGATCGTATCAGACTAAATATTGTGATTACAGTTACAGTGACCTATGACTATGGGGACTCCAGGAGAACAACGTCTTGATTGTCTTGAAGTTTATATGGCACGACAGTGTAATTACGGTATTTAAAAAAAAAAAATTACCAGTAGATTCTTAAAGGGAGTAATTTTTGCTTGGTTTGGGACAACTCTGGGATTACGACTGATTGTTCTGTGCGATATTATAAAAGATTTAAATTATAGTCTCACCAGTCGTATCACAGACTGTTATTAGTATGACAATGTATATACTACACATGCAAAAGTAAAGCTGACTGAAGGTTTATATATAGAAATGCCTAACCAAGAAGTTAGGATTTCAGAGTTTTCTTTTCAGTTTGTACGAGAACCTTTTAGATATTGTCTACAGTAGGCCCATGATACTGTACGTTTTGATAAAAAACCGGCAGTGCGATGCCAATCAAACAATAACAAGCTTTTCGTTTTATTTAAAAGTCAAGGTATTTGTATACTTTGGTAAATTATTTAATTTATTTTAATGTTATGGAAAACAAATTATTTAATTTATTTTAATGTTATGGAAAACAATGGTTCGATAAAAAAATTTCCAAGTTAAAAAATCGGTTATCGCGAATAAGAGTATACAGGGGGAGCCTGGACATTAGGAAAAAAAAAGGGGGGGGGGGAATAGTTAACAAGGGAAAAATTATCTTGGGAAATGTTCTAGGACGATTTTTCTGTCACAGATACAGTATTTCGATCTCCATGGGATATGAATCTTTTAGAGCAGTAAATCCTTAAGGAATGGTCCGCAGACCGGCACGGGTCCTAACCTTGCGTTGACGGTCTGCACAACACGATTCAAGAAACTTGCAACAAAGTTAAATGTTTCATGAGTTTCGTTTTAAAAGAACCTTAAAAAAAACGAGATTTATTTTCTTAAATTAAAAATACTTCTCCCAGTGCACATTGCGAAGAGACTGGGAAGCTCAGGGCTATTAAAAATAATAATTAAAAATTCAACGTTTTCGTATTTACAAGATAATGGCTAAACAGGCAACCCCACGGATTGTTCTTTTTTTAAATTTTCCTAGGGCATGTGTACTCAAAGTTTTCAAGTTTAGATCCCATGTTGACTGTATGCCTACGGCAGGCCTGCACAACTCAACATGTAATGGGGGGCGTAATGGTTTATGAAAAACTTGTGCGGGCCAAAAGAAAATAGGACCCGGTGTGGGGGGGGGGGGGAAGCTAATAATAATAAGAAAGAATTTTTACTGCACAACTCAACATGTAATGTGGGCCGTAATGCTTTATGAAAAACTTGTGCGGGCCAAAAGAAAATAGGACCCGGTGTGGGGGGGGGGGGAAGCTAATAATAATAAGAAAGAATTTTTCGTTACTTCGCGGGCCGCAAAGTGGGTTCTGGCGGGGCGCATGTGGCTCGCGGGCCGTTTGTTGTGCAGGCCTGCCCAACGGTATTAAGCTGCCTACGTTGCATGGGCGCCCACAGAAAACTTTCTAGGGGGGGGGGGCAAAAAAAATCGATTAACTTTCCAGTGGGGGGTGGGCAAAAATTTTTTAGTAATGTTTTAATGTAGTTTTAATTTACTATAGCGTATTTGTATGGTGAACGAATGGACAGGACATCAGCTTAGTTACTTTCTCTTTATTTTCTCTTTACTTTAATAAATGTTTTGTCTATTTTTGTCTAAATTTTTTGTATCCAGTCAATCCAGGGGGGGGGGCAAGTGCCCCACCTTGCCCCTACCTGTGGGCGCCCATGCTATCTTTGTATAGCATCAATAGGGCATCGGCAGTAATTTTATAGTAAATTTGACGTTTAAATTAAAATTTTGCGTAATCAAATTTTTAATTAATTATTTTCGTATCAAAGTTATGCATACAACATAAACTTTCTTTAATTACGAAATTCAATAAAGTTTTAATTCCCTAACTTTCTCAAGAAAAATTACCTTTGTTTAATCTTATTATTATAATTATTATTTAAAAAAAAAAAAAATTGTGTGGAACGGTATCTGTAACAGCCGTTGTCCAATGACCATTATTAGGAACGACAATGAGACCTGCCACACAAAAATAAATAGTCTTGCAACATGTGTAAATTGGCTTGAAAACCCATCTTGTAAATTTTCTGTGCACGAAAGGAATATTGGTCTAAGTTGTTCTTTTTTCAAGGAATTACGAAATGTAAATAAAAATGCATTATTCAAAATCACTGTCACGGAGTGCAAGTTTTTTTCTGAAAGGAATGTCATTTCATTTGAACCTCCCATCTTTTTTCTAAAATTGTAATCAACGCACTAAGCTCATTAATACACCCATTAATGTCCACCAAAAGAAAATGTACCATCTAATTCACTAGTGTGCAAAAATTCCACAAACTCCCCAGCCTTCTTTTGAGAAACTCACCACTTTCACATGACGCATACACAACCGCTCAAATAATTTTATAACTTAAATCAATGTGTAAAAAGTAAATCACCATGTTCTGCATATGACTCATCTAAACAATTTAAACAGACGATGCTGCAGTGAACAAAATTAAATTGGTTCTTATAATATTAAATAAGTTTCATGATTTCTGCAAATAAATTAACTGCTTAGTTTTGAACATAGAACGAATAATGCAGTGATAGGATATCAATTTTGGTTGAACTCCCGTAGATAACAGGCAAGATGGAGTCCACTTTTACGGGGGGTTGTGGTGGTGTTCCCAGTTCAACGAAGAGTGTCAATTTTTTGTTAGCGCTACACTTGAAACACATCATGTTGCTTTGTTTATTTTTTTCTTTTTAAAGTACGATTTCGGATGTTTTTGGTGGGTCCGTTGAAATGCCAGACTTTCAGTACTTCTTCTCTATGAGAAAAAGGTGGATACCCGACAATAATTTCACCAGGCATCTGAAGCCATGTGACAGAACGGGAATGTGGACTACTAGCACACTTTTCTGTTTCATTAATCATATTTGATGTCTAATAATACTTACAAGTTTGTAGCTTTACTTTCGCGTAACACACATACAACCGGAGGGCGTCAATTTTAATTACTATTTTGTTTTTGTTGTTTATTTGGGGGTTGGGGGGGGGTGGGAATAAAAATTGGCAACAAATAGTGTAATGATCGTGTTACGTGATCTCTGTATGGCCCCCAAATTCATGAGATTTCCTCGATGTTTATCTAAAAAAATGTGCAAGGAACAATATTCAAGCCAAACTAAACGTATGTATTATGTAGGCTTCTTCTTCTTCTTCTATATCTTAAGGGCCCACGATCAATTTATTGATCATTTTGGCTCCTATGCATGTAGATGGGATTTGCAATGTTTCTGTTACTGGTGGTGATGAGGAAATTATGCACTAGGGGTTTGAAGAACACAAATGTGTCTAGTGTTGTCGCCTCAACTGTTCCTTTTGAAAGATGGTTCCAGTCCCTGATTGTCTTGGGCAGGAATGAGCAGCTCCTATACTGGCTTCTTGCTGGTATGAGCCTGAATTGCCTGTCATGGCCTCGTCGCTGTCTATGGGGGAGAGGGACGAGTTTCTGTTTAATACCGGAACAGTGGACCAGCCCATTATTTATCTTTATTTATGTACCAACTCCTCATATCCTCTCCAAAACACTTTATATTTATATGCCAACTCCTCATATCCTCTCCAAAACACTTTATATTTATATGCCAACTCCTCATATCCTCTCCAAAACACTTTATATTTATGTACCAACTCCTCATATCCTCTCCAAAACACTTTATATTTATATGCCAACTCCTCATATCCTCTCCAAAACACTTTATATTTATGTACCAACTCCTCATATCCTCTCCAAAACACTTTATATTTATGTACCAACTCCTCATATCCTCTTCAAAACACTTTATATTTATATGCCAACTCCTCATATCCTCTCCAAAACACTTTATATTTATGTACCAACTCCTAATATCCTCTTCAAAACACTTTATATTTATATGCCAACTCCTCATATCCTCTCCAAAACACTTTATATTTATGTACCAAGTCCTCAAACTCTCTCCAAAACACTTGAGTGAATTGCAGCCAACTTTAAAATATTCAGATAAATTTAAAGATTTCTTGAACGACTATAGCAATCATTTAATACAACACGCTGGTCATTGACAGCTGACAGTCAACATTCTGATGCTATGCCTATACCTAGCTCATCTGACAGTCAACATTCTGATACTATGCCTATACCTACCTCAGCTCAGCTGTCAGTCAACATTCTGACACTATGCTTATACCTACCTCAGCTCAGCTGACAGTCAACATTCTGATACTGTGCTTATTTTGTTAAGGCTAGGGTCACAACGCCCGTATGCCGTATTTTATTACCGTACCCATTTTAAAACTTACGGCGATAATCCGATTAGTCCAAGTGAATTAGGATGTTGTTTTCATTTTTAAAAGTTTCTTGGAAGTCTATTTTTATTTTTCACCTTTTAGAAAATAAAATAACTCTTAAAAAAAAAAACTACCAAAAATAACATGATCATATGATGATCCATTTAAAATGAAAATAATATAGCAAACAGCGTGAATTATCAAGCAAACTAAAGTCGTAACTAACCAAACAAAAACAAAGTTTGTTCTGTGCATTTTATTTTACTTTTTGATGCATCTTTTTTACTAAATGTCCTTTTATGAATTACCTCCCCTGATCATGCTTTATCCAGAATTTTCGCTACTTAAACTTAATTTCAGTAGCAACACAATTAATTATAAACATACTAATAAAACAGAATAAGGTATAACTCATATTCAAAATGACATCAGAGCCAGTTTTGTGCTATAATAAAGGATGTGGGAAAAAGTTTACATTTGAGGAGAATTCAGAGAGTAAGTAATGAAAGTAATGAAATTGGGCACTATTTTAACTATTTACCAGATCAGTATCTCTCCCGGCTCTGGCCTCAAGTTCAAGGCTCAAGCCCTCAGCTACTCGCCAGTGAAATAACACTAATATGTCCGAGTTTAATCCTGTAGTCTTAATAGCAGTTGAGTAACACTAGCTTAGTGGGCTAATGCATAGAGATGTCGCCATGACTTCATTTGCGTGTTTATTAAAGTTAAATGAGGGGAGAGACTGCAATCAGGTTAGCACAATGTGACAATAATGGACCCATGTTCTGGAACCAGCTCCCCTGCCATATCCAATATCCGTCATTGTGAAACCTCGTCCACTTTCAAAAAGTCCCTTAAAACCCATCTGTTTAGGTCCGCCTATGACCTGTGATGCACTCTCCTTTCCCTGCATCATTTTCTGTCTCAGGTTGATCCTGTAGTATAGGCCAAAACGTGCCAAAGTGTCCTCGTTTTATATTTATATAGCCATTTTAATTGTTTCTATAGTATAGTAGTTACTATCCTAGTGTCTCATTTTTATTTTACTTAGTTTACATGTTTTTAATAATTGTAAAGCGCTTAGAGCTTTAAGGTAAGCGCTATAGGCTATATAAAAATGCCTAAATAAATAAATAAAAAAGTGTTTTTTCTGTTGTTTTGTTCACTGATGAATTGACACATTTGTTGGTTTGTTTTATATTTATTAAAGTTGCAGTCTGCAGGGAATTAAGGTTCAGGATACAGGATAGGTTTAGGGATACATTTTTTAAGGTTCAGTTTTGGTTTAGGGATACATTTAAATTTAGGGTTCAGGTTAGGTGTAGAGTTTAGGAATAAATTTAGTTAGGTTTAGTGACAGAATTAACTGGTCGTGTCAACCAAGGTGGCAGCCATGTGGCGACATCTGTATAATCACTCTATACATTTACCGCTTAGACTTTGTGACTTAGCCTTAGCAATGAGCTGTTGTAGTCTTGCTTTTTTTCTTTATTATATCATATTCTAATTACTAGCAGTATCAGATGCCGGTGAGAAGTGGCAATGTTAATGGCAAGCCAATGTGTTGCTAATGCTAGCCTATAATTTTTGTTTTTGATTTGGGGGCCATCAATATATTTAAATATTAATAAATAACGGCCCGTCAAGCTATTTTGGCAGACTTTGGGTCCCTGTACTCATACTGCCAAATTTAAAGCTATTGTTTCACTCCTGGTCATAAAGTATGATAGTAATTGATTGTAAAGCCCAGGCCAAATTCTTATTGATTTTGCTAGCCAATTTATTAGTGTAAAAAAAATAGTTATTAATTAATTTCAGGCATAAGCTTTTTTTCTTTCAATGCAATTGACAATATCTCATTATTAGGGATTTCAGTATGGCTCGTGGAAACCAGGAAATTCTGTTTTTACTGATGAATGCTTCTTGCAACGCGTTCATTGTTTTTTTTTTTTGCGTTCTTTTTTAAGTTTTTCCCATACTCTTTGTTTTGCTCATTTCTATTTTTCTAACTTGATTGCAGTCTCTCCCCATTATTACCATAAATGAAATTACACAAGATATTACTAAAGAACAATCCTTATCACCTCTAGCAAATAACCCGTAATTATATTAGCATAGGCTAACAATAAAAACTTAGTTTGCCACTGTTGATCTCAATTTTTTAGTGTTCAAAATACTTGTTTTAATTAAAAAATTACTCATTTTTAAGTGAAGAATAAAAATGTATTAAGTAATTGATATTATTAATTGTCTCAGCTGCCTGTATCCATCATCCTGGAGGCCCTATATTCCATGATGCCCTAAAAGGATGGTCCTGCTGCAAAAAAAGAGTTTCTGACTTTACAGAGTTTCTAAACATCAAGGTAAATACTTTTAAGTGTTCATTTAGTTTTTATAATATTTTAGAACAAATAAACTCTAATCTCATATTTCATGTTTTAAAAAAACTACTGTCATACTTTCAAATCATTTGAAATGATAACATAGTGTCAATTTTAAATGCTTACAAAATCAGAATCAAAATAAACTCATTCAGTTACTTTTCCAAAAGAAGACTTCTGTTGATTTCAAATAATCCAAAATAATTAAAGGTCTCAATCATGTTCATTAATTTTACATTTATATATTAACCCCCAATTTAGGGTTGCACCACAGGATATCACAGTAATGTCAAGCCACCTGAGCCAGAAAAGATTGAAAAGCCCCCAGCAAACGTATGTACACCAGGGCCCAAATGATAAGCGTTTTCTTACCCTTTTCCAGTTCCGAAATTTTGGGCATAGAGCTCAATTTGATTAATCAGTAATCTTAAAAATAATACTGTACAGTTTTCAATAGTTTTCAGATTGATTTATTTAATCTACATTAAATGCATTTCTGGAGGATCGGTTTAGTAAGATTAAATAACACTCAAAGTGTAAGACAATTACTACTAAGTAAATAATAAATGTTAAGTAATGTATCCCAACAGTGCCAATCTCTACAACTTTGCCCTTTTCCCTGTCTCCCTCTCAGTAAGAGGATCATGTGATCATCACATTGATGTACATAGCAAGCAGAATTTTAAGCTGCTACAGCAAGGTTTATTAGGTCTGTGAGAAGACACATCTATTTTTAAAGACAAAATGATATTTTTATTCATTAAATTATTCTTCAAATTAACTTATTTAAAACTTTATAAACTTTGCTGATTGTAGTTGATGCAAAAAAGAATATGAAAGCACATTGATGTATTCAGAAGAATTTTAAAAGTTTGTATGTGTGACATACAGCTATAAATGAGATGAACTTCCTTTCACTCACAAAATACAAATGGTACATTTCAGTCCAAAGAACCCATGTACCAGCTCGATGTGAAACCACAGCACCGGCAGCCCAATCCTACCCTGTCAGAAAGACCATCAGATGACGAACCCTTGGTTGAACTGCCAAAGACAGTTGGAGCGTCTCTTAAAACACAGCTGGACAAACTTAGTTTGATTGATCCAGAGAATACTGAAGTTGTAAATGGTATGCAGGGCAGCACCAGTTTTGTATCTGCCAAGCTCTGGTACAAATCTGTGTAAATACAAATTTTACTGGTGTAAAAGGGTGTAAGTTAAAACTCAAAACTTACTTCCGGAAGTTAACAACTGTCCCTCAAAAAGTTCAGACACAGTCTGGCCTCCTTGCTTTTCAACTTTGATTTTTTTTTTTATTATTACAATATTCATACTTGTATTACTATTATACATATAAAATAATGTACACAAAATGGACAAAAGGTTCATATAAATAAATTGTAAAAATTAATTTAGCAAATACTCTGCAACTATTTCACTAACAGCAATTTGCCCATGCCATTTCTGGTAGGCTCCTACTTCTAAAGTGTTGCAATTTTTACAGATAAAATTATCAAGGTAGGAACTTCATGCAACAACAAGGGATGTAAAGCAGTAAGTATTGTTTATTGTAGTTTTCTATAAAGATACTATTTTTTTAATTGTTGATCTAAAAAGGAAAGGGGTGGGGGATCACATTTGGGTGTCCTTTAAAATTTGTATCTTTGTTGAGTTTTAAGTTCCCTTTTATACAGAAGTAAAAAAAAAAAAAGAAAGATTTTTAAACTGGTTTAATTTGTTTACTCTTTGTCATTTTCACTATTTTCAGACTTATGATGGTGAACAAAGCAATGAAGAACCATGCATTTTTCACTCAGGGGTTCCAATATTTCACGAAGGGTAATTTGATGCGTTGTCCTGAATAATAATTTTTTTTTTTTGCTTTGAGAGAAATGTCAGCATTGATGGGTAGATTCTTTTTGTGAAATATTTTCAACTGTCTGTTTTTTTTTCTCACTTTTTCAAGTATGAAATACTGGACTTGCTGTCAAAGGAAGACTTCAGATTTTGAGGCATTTCTTAACCAAGAAGGCTGTGAAACTGGTCACCATAATTGGCACAAACCAAAGGTACCCTGTTTGTGGTTGATCTTTTTTATCCAATGGACTGTTTTGGCTCATGTAATAAGGTATCCAAAACAATATGTCTTTATTTTTTCTTACATGATTTTGTTGTTTTGGTATGAGCCGAGCTGAAGGACGGCCTCATCTGATTTTATTGCAACTGTTTCAGGTTACAGAGGAAAAGCAAGTCCGTGTTGACTGGCACCAAACAACATCTACAGTATGCATATCTATTTTTGCCAAAGTTGCACTTCCAGAAAAAACTGTGATTCAGGCCAACCGTGTCAAGTGTAAAGTTAGTATTGTGTATGAGGGTGGGACCAGTGTATATGAGAAAACATTTATACTCAGGGAGGTAAGTTGTGTCTATTTTAGGATTTTTTTTTTTGTTTAAAGTATGTCCTGAAAAATTCATTAATAAACCAGCCTGTTATTTTTCTAATTAATAAACCAGACCTTTTTTTAAAAAATTAATAAAATAACCTGTTTTTTTAAATTTTAATTCATAAATCAGTCTGTTTTTTTTTAAATTTTTAAAAAATTATTAAACTAGCCTGGTTTGTGGAAAAAAACAAACAAAACCAGCCTGTTTTTTTTTTTTTACAAATTATCAACCACCAGTATTAAAATTATGATAATTAAACTTGATTTAAACCTAGTTTCTCTAATTAAACCAAACTAATGGAATTTTGCTTGTGAAATCATTATTTAGTAAACTTCCAGCAAATCAATTTTTGTTAAAAGCCAAACATAGGCATAAAAATACATTCTGATTTAACTTATTTCCAACTTAGACAATTTCTGATTTAACTTATTTCCAACTAAGACAATGTCAACAAAATGTTGTTTTTTTCCAAATAGTCTATGTAATGCACATAATAAGTTATGAACCATTTTGTGAAAGTCTAACAGATCTGCTAAATCCTGACAGTTTGGGGAACTAATGAGTTTCTTACACCTTTCAGTCCTTAGAAGAAAAATTTTGCTAGCTTTACTGTTGATCTTAAATAGTTGTAGCCTTAGATTGGAGTTGATGTGGCAATCACAAGTGTCTGGTGATGCGAGTCCTTTTTATGCAAAGCTGCTGTCATTACTATCAGGAAATCAGTAGTTATTGTTTGTAAGACGGGTCAAAAATGAATCAGCTTCCCCTGAAATATTCTACTCACAGGCAACAAAACTAAAAGGGATGCATTTAGAGACACTTTTTTTTGTTCTGATTGTAGATGTTAAATCTATTTTGTATCACCAAAAATTGTGTTCATAATTCTCTCAGGCAATAGACACAGACAAGAGTGCAGTGAAACTGCTTGGTACCAAGATAGAGATAGATCTGAAGAAAGCTGAAGCATTTTCCTGGCCAACTCTAGAACTACCTGACCCTGTAATCACCTCTTCCTCCTAGACATGTTTTATAGATAGCTTTCCTGTTGATAGCTTTATGTATTCTTGTGTCAATCTCACAATCTAAGTTACACTTTGTTATTTACTGTACAACTTTGCGTTAATTATTTTTGTCATTTAAAAATACAAAACTTGTTAGTTTTTCCAGTGGTTTTTGAATTTACAAAGAATTGTTACAACTACGATGGATTTCAGTTCAGTGTTAAAATATTGGGATTAGACAATACATAAATATCTTCACATGACTTGTTGAAAGTTAATACTATTTCTGCACAAAGAAAGTTGTTCATTTGCTATTACTCTGTTCACAATGTAGACACACCGACTGTAAAATTATCTTACCTTTTATTTGTGGAATTTTTTTATCTGATTCTCTTGTGAGGTGAATGATTCCAACAATATATCAACATTATATAAAATGTTTTTAAAATATGGATTTGATATTTTTAGTATAAAAATTTACCATAAGCTCATACGCTTAGGTATCTTTAGCTTCCCTAAAATGATAATTTTGTGCCTGACTATAAAAATATTGTTTTATTGATTGCCAGGATATATTTTTAAAACCTGTACTTACTAAATAAAGGTATATCTATTGTGCTAAACTTGAACGATCCAAGAAAAAAAAAATTGCCAGTTAAATTTTTAGTGTTATTTGACTGTGAAGGAGGTTGGGATAATAGGTGTGCATACCTTAAGAGACTTACGCACACCTTAGAGTCTTATCAGCATGGTAATTGTATGGGTGTAAATGTTAAATGTACAAAATGATGTTTGTCCTGTCTCTTTATTATCTTCAAATAATGATAATCATATGGCATTTGACCAAAGTACTTGCCAGTGCCACTTGAACAGTCTAGTTGATCAATATAGTGTGATTTCAGAACAAAGTCATCGTTTTGGTACATGTTCTAAACATGTTTGGGCATTAATAAATCTGGTAAAGTCCTTTCTTTCTTTCTTCTCTCATTAATTGAAGAATGACATTAAACATGCCCACACATACATACCACGAATTCTAGGTCACAGTGTAAATTCCTTAGCATTAGTTCATAGGTATTTCTATGATCATCATCACCCATGACATATTTGGATAATTTAAAATGGTTTTCCTTAAGGAAACCACATGGGTAATTTCCAGTATAACAGTTAAGTTACACTTTAAGTGAAGACAAATATTTTTGTTTACTTAAATGACTGAATGAACTTGTATGCTTTTCACTTTTTATTATTTAATAAATTGTGTCTCAAGATCACATCCTGTGTTGTTTCAAATCATGACACAACAGATTCAAGTGTAATTTAGGAGGAAAAAATACTTTATTATTGCAACATGATCAGTAACAATTGTTTACAGAAACTAATGGACATAGTACGGAATTAAAACACAAATCAAGTACTTATCTGTCATAATGATGATAATAACCTAAAAAAATGTCTGTTTAATCATATAATTATTTATAATTGTAAGGCAGCAAAAAGCGTAACTTTTTCGAACAATGGCAAAGCACTTGAAAAGGGAAGGGGGGGCGGGGGTGTGGCAATAAGGACCTAATAGCAAACCCAAGCTAAAAATAGCTCTTCATTGATGAAATAAAAAATTGAATTAAAAAATCTGTAAAGCAACAAATAATAATAAACTTAAGGTAAGGAATATTGTTTCTTATATTTACAATATATAAGCTGAGTAAAGCAATAATAAGTAGCAATGACTAAAATAAGTACAACAAAATAACGAAGTCTTACACAAATTGAGTATGCAAATTAAGAGGGTGTTTACCCAGCAACAATTCAAAATGCCCCATATTAAATGGCCTATTTAAAAAAGAAAAATAAGATTCTTTCCCCTGCAAAGTGTAAAAAGAATTGTCCTAATTTAATCTTCTTCTTATATTTGAGGGGCCCACGATCATTTTGTTGATCATTATGGCTCCTGGCTTTAATTCAGAGTTTTCCTTCTCTTAGATGGGTTGCCGTCCAAGGCTAACGAGTCCCATCCACCCGGGGTGCTGGGGATGTTGGCTTTAATGGGGATTGAACTCCGGACTACTGGCGCCACTGATATTTGGTTTGAGACAGTTTAGACCGCTCGGCCACCCAGCACAATCTTAGCAAGTTTCACAAAGTACATCTAAGGGAGATAATCTGGAATGGAAGAAGATCTAATGTAAACTGACAACCTCTGTTGTCGGGAGTGAACTTGACAGCCACTTCACGATCAGTGTCTTGCAAATGTACAGAGTCTTCCAGGCCATTGCATGCTTGTACATCCTGAATTGGCAGTGTACTAGTTATGATAGCACTGGTGGTGCCACCAAAAGCCTCATGAAGTCTGAGAATAATGGTTTGACTTCCATCTTCAGCCTTGAGTAAAAAAGGTCAAGGAAAAAAATTTAAAAAATGAAGTTTCAAAATATAATTGGTTGATTGAAGTTTAATGGGGCTTCTCCTTTTATGGTGGAAATCTATTAATAGGTCTGCTGTATTCATCTGGGTACTCAAAATGTCAACACTGTTTGATACTACTTTGTTAGCAAAGTGGCCCTTCTTAACCTGAATCCAAACTTGTTTATAAAAATATTTTATACAATTTTTTGGTCCTGCTATGTCTATATTCAAGGATATACATTTTGTGAAATTGGGACTTCATTGCCCGTACGGCACATGTAACAGTGACTAGATATTCTAGATATTCTCTTTTAAACTTTTTAACACTTTGATCTAACAGGGTACATATATGAACAGTGCTCCTGCATCCCCATCCCCCCCCTCCCGCTCCCCTTATTCTGCACCCATGAACCTTTCCCCACTGTTACCCATTCTCCTCACCCCATCCTTTCTCGGCCCCATTCCTTTTCCGCACCCCTTCTCATCATCTCGCCCTTTCTCCACACTCCAGTGACAGTGCATTTTAACACCTGTTAAGTTGCAAAACTGAGTGGATAGAAATATCTATCTTTGACAAAACTGCAGAAGGAATGTCGTTTTCAGTCAGAACGATATGCTGAAACAGACTATTAGCTGCCATGTTTTAAGAAATATTGGTCGGACGTTCTAAAAGTAGTAACATTACGTAGTGCGCTATGAGGTTTTCCGGTCTGAGAAATGATAAACCCTATTATTGTATAAAATGAGGGGTGGAGTGCTGCTATAAGAACTGATCCAATGCCGCCCCTCTCCCCCCCCCCCCCCCCCCCTTTTTTCGGTTTTTAAAATGACTTTGATGTGTAATCAAACTGCTCATGCTCATCATGTAGAACTTTACCATTTTGATGGCTTGAACAACAACTTGTTTGGTATCAAGTGTAAACAGACCCTTGCTGACCAAGTCTCCACTGTGATTGGTTGTTGGTGCATTGACCACTCTCAGGGGAGAGTTAAACACAAGGGCAGCCTGAATGACATCCGCTTCTTGAAAACTGCCTGGAAATGTCAAATTATGGGAATTAAACATGGAGGAGACGAAAGGCAGTTCTTGTATTGTGGTTGAGGTCCATCCTCAGGTTTCTTGATATTCTACCAGATATAATTATTTTTAAAAAAACGAAACCAAACTCAAGGGGAGCAGCCTGAGTTTCTTAAAAATATCTCACATAGTTGTCTTCAATGCAGGACCAAGGGTGACAAATAAAATATTTCAAAATTAAAATACTTTTATGACTCGGTACATCCAAGAGGGAATTCACATATAGCAGACACATATACATCCTCTTTTTTACATATATATATCTATTTTATATTATATATATATATCTCTATATTATATATCTCTCTCTCTTTATATACATACATATATATATATATATATATATATATATATATATATATATATATCTATCTATATATATATTTATCTATAGAGAGAATTCACATATATCAGACACATATATATACTCTTTTTTATATATATATATCTATTTTATATTATATATATATATATCTCTATTTTATATATCTCTCTCTCTATATATACATATATATATATATATATATATATATATATATATATATATATCTATATCTATCTATCTATCTATCTATCTATCTATCTATCTATCTATCTATCTATCTATCTATCTATCTATCTATCTATCTATCTATCTATCTATCTATCTATATCTATCTTCATACACACAAAGGCTTAAATAATCACATTTTTCTTAGCATGGCAGCATTGCCTACATATCATTGCAAACTTGTTGATGTGCTAGTTGACAAGTCATTTTTAGACATCTTGACAGGTGTGCTCCACTCAACCTAAATGGTAATCACCAAAGACTTACCCCAATGTGGCATTAATGCATAAGAGAATGTATGTTCACCCATATCAGCTTTAGGGTCTGGAGTTTTAGATGAGCGTAACCTGCAATTTGTTACCAAAATTCAGATGCAAATAATTAGACCAAGTTAAAATAATTTATATTGGATAGAAATGCAATACTACAATTAATTTGTTGTCTTGAAGTGGCAAAAACTTTTTTTCTTAACTTATGTGTTAAATTTTGTTTTTTTTCTAAAACAAGTTTAAGAATGAGAAACCGTGCAAATTTCATCCAGTCCAATATACAAACTTAAATTACTCACAGTGAGAGTCTAAGAACACCTTCCACAGCTGAATGTCCATACTTGCAGTTGTTTAAAACACTGACGCCAAACCCATGCTCTGATATGTCAACCCACTTGTGGCCACAGACCTGAACACAATTTATTGAGACAGATAAATAAGATGGCAAAAAATGAAATATTTGAAAAAAAAATATATTATGTAATATTGGGTCTGTTGCTGGAACCCATCATTCATTTTAAAGTGTATTTTCATAACTGACTTAAATAACAATTTATTGATATGGCTTATTGAACAGTGTTTTTTGGGTCACGTACAGATTTTAACTGGCAATCACCAATAAAATGAAATAATGCCAACCTCATATCTGGCTGAGTCCCAGGACGTGTTGTAATGATTCGGTCTCTGAAGAAATCCACTCTGGATGTCATAGGTTACCTGATTGGCATGGACAGTTGTGGGAAACTCCACTTTCAAGAATTTGCGGTTTTCAAACCAGGTGACCTAAGAGAAAACACCAAACAGGTCATTGCTCATTAGAAAATGGTAACTGTTTGGAAGGTGATGTTTTGTTTATAAATAAAAAATAAATAGAAAAAAATGTAAGAACCAAGAAAATTGGAATTCAATGTAGAAACTAACTAAAAATTTAAGAATAGTTGTCTCATACTGAATGTAATGCAAAAATTATCAAGATATATACAATGTTTTCAGTACTGAAGATTAAGTAAAAAACCAACACATGATTAAAAATATATACCTCGGTATTGAAGGTGATGTAAGAACTGCCAGCATCAAGAACAATTTCTTGTTTGAGGTAACTCTTATCGCTTATTTTCAAGCTTACCTGAATGAGTGAAAAGTCACAGATACAGATGGTTGTAGTGTGTGAATCCAAGGGGGTTATTGCCCTTCTTATGTCTTGTGGACTAGCACAACATGTGTGTTAATAAAAGTAAATTTATAATTATATCTACTAAGTCATTGTCCATAACAAACAAAAAATTTTCCCCTAACTGAATTAAAATTGTTTTAAAAAAAACCCAAATCAAAACTACAACCTGAAATTCCAGTAGTCAGAAATAATAGGGTTACATTAAGAGAAATATGTTTTCTTTATGTATGTGGGAGACTGAATAATTAAATGAACTAAAACTTATGCTAATAGGATGAGCTGCAACCTCTAAAGATACTCTGGATCTACTGGAATGATGACCTGTCACAATCCTTTGAATGGGTGTGACAACTGGTTTTCTGAAATATGACAGTAAAGCAGTAAATGAGGACACAGATGATGTTGCGACTGATATAATGATTAAAATGATTATTTATGAATTATTTTTTTTTTTTAATAGTAATAAATAAGCATTGCAGAGTTTCTTAACCATCCATTTAATAATTGATAGAACTTCAATTTACTAAAAAGTTGGGACAGTTTTTAAAATATAATAGACTCCAAAATGCATGAGAAATAGTTTACCATTTGAGAAACAAGTAAAAATGTTTGAGTTTTGAAGACAAACACTACAATACATGGTAACACACATGACTTTAATTTCTGACCTAGTTTCCAAATGGTAGTCCATGACATCCCAGGCATCCCAGTAGAGAGGAATGTCGTCATACAGCAAGAACTGATTGGCAGGATGCTGCTGGTCGATGGCTTCCTTGGACCACCTGAAACAATGACAGAACAAGTAAAGCCAGATGACATACACCAGGCATTGGATTCAGAACCACCGATGACAGATTGCAATATAAAACATCACTTACCTCTTTGTGAGCTTATCAAAGCAGGTCAGAGATGTAACTCTGCCAATAGAATCTATGACGGCCTTGATGATTCCATTGGTCATCACATAGTGGTCATCCTGGGAAATGTATATTTAATTATTCAATAATTGTCTGAAGCAGTCACAACCTTAGTATTTTCATTTATTAACAAATTTCTCTTAAAAAGTTAATTAACAAAGATAAAATTAATATGCTCATATGCTTGGATAATAAAAAGCAGATTACATGTTCTTATTTTTAAAAAAAAATCTATTTGTTACTTTCCATCTTGTTAATCTTGAATATTTAGACATGTCCCTTTAAAATATGGGATAACATAGAATGTTCAATTTTTTTCACATCCAAATCTCATTTTGAATCTGTTATTTAGTGTGTAACAGCATTTTTTGCATTCTACCAAAAATGTCAAAGAACATCCAACTTCACGTGTGTCTTTCATGTGTGCCGCCACCCCCCCCCCCTTTTTTTTCTTTCTAATTTAATATGTAGTGTGACAGTTGACTTACCTCCCTTGTCAAGATGACCTCACTGTTGGTTTCTATCTTAACCAGGCAGTCTCTCAAAGGTCTCATGCTGAGGGGAGGGATGCTGACTTCAGCTACAATATTAAATACACATACCATTTAAAGAGAGTCTGTCAAAACTGAAGTTTTACACTAACTCTTTTGAAATTTTGTTTAAATTAAGTTTTAATATTCACACCTTTTTATTGCTATAGAATCATTAATGAATTTTTTATGAGGAAAAATTTAAATGAAAAGCAGTTAAGACGATAAAAAAGAATTTAAAAATCAGTCATTGTAAATTTTTCTTTTATTTATTTGTTTTTGACAAAAGCAATCCTATGTTTTTAAAAAAATTAACCACTTTTCGTCATTTATGCTGGTTAAAAATAATTGTAGCACTTCATAGTGTAACAAGGAAACACAGTTAACCTGGGGTTGAAACTGTTAAGTGTTAATTCAGTGAATGTTATGCATCACGTTTTAATTTTAAGAGAGGGCATTGTTTCAATAATGTTTTAACATCTTCATGAATCATGTTTTCAATACGTTAAATATTTTATTACTCCACTGCTATGGTTTGCAAAATCAATAATTGACTTCACTACTGGAAACGAAGAAATTTTATTTGACCATTTGCTTGACCATTTGCGAAGGAATGCCTACCTATATTAGGACCATCCCCATCAACTCCTATGCTATTCTCTGACAACTTCCTTTTCTTGGATGCTGGAGAGGCAGTTATTGTAGGGGGCAGCTCTATCACTTCTTGTCTCGTGAAGCCCTGTGTGTTGACCACATATAGTTCCACGTCATTGGCTGAGTCAGTCTCCCCCTGTCAAATACAATACAATGTACATGATGTTTACAGATGGAAAGTTATTGTCTATGTTCAGGGTCGATGTTAATAACCCAAAACTAAAATATTAAAAACATTTTTTTTAATAAAATGCATTTCTAATGATCAAATATCAGACTTTCTGTTTCAAAACTAAATAATTATACTTACATTTCACATAATTCATTTAGGAATTTTAAAAATTAGGCTGGTCAAAATAATTTAGTTAACATCTTTAAAAAATATTTCCCCCAAAAATTTGATCTGAGCAAAACATTCGCCTCTTTTGAAGATGACTCCATGTTTAATCAATGAATTCCAACTATTTTTTAGAACTATTCAATTATTTTTTAGGTTTAAATGCTTGATCCAATGAAAGTATTTGTTAAAAAATAATATAAAACTCTTTCCTCACAAACTTAGTTGTCTCCCTTTGGCTTATAATATAAACAGATTTTAAAATATTAATATAAGAAGAAAAAAAAAAATCATGCATGTTTTCTTATTCAGTTTCCCTCACAAACACAAATGGATGTCAAAATAAGTTAAAGTCTAACATACATATTTCTCTTTGTTCTTTTGGACCCCTGGCTTTGGTACTTTTCTAATGTGGTAACATTTACCTGAGTTTTGGTGCAAGCCTTCAGAGCCTTGTTGATTAGTTCTGTTGAAGTCTTCTCAATTTCTGAACAATATGAAACAATCCAAGATATGGCATTCCTTTAATTCGTTAACATCTTAAAATACAAACAAAACTTGTTCCTTGTCATTTTTTTTCATCTTTGGCAAGAGATCAGATAAATTTGCAGCCAGTAAAATATTTTATTGACAACAAATGATTTTGGAACTTGAATAAAAAAGAAACAGTTTGCTGTGTTTTATCATATGGCTATCAGAGTTGGCAGAACACCGTAGCTCATTGCCTACTTTGAAAACAGCAAAATGTTTATTTTAAATTATCCGCTGGAATAAATTTTGTTAAAAAAAAACGCCAAAAAAACCCCTGATTTCTTAATGAAATTCTTTTGAAAAAAAAACACAACAAAAAAAACATGACAAACCTTCATAATACTTGATTGCATCTTGAAAAACCTGAAAGAAATTTGACATAACTAAAAGAGAATTTAGGATTTTTTTTTTTCATGCATTGAATATTTAAAATTACCCCCTACATTAATAATATTATGAGCACACATGCCAAGTAATCCAATTTATGTGTCATTTTTACAAATTCTTCAATTTTACATCCATTACAAGCCCCTTTCTCCCCTTTACAAGCAAACATTTTTTTTTCTTCTCCCTTTTGTCTGTTTATTCCCATTGAAGGGCAATATTGCTGATATGTCTTTTATGAAAAACTTGTTGTTTTTTTTTAAAGTGGACCATGAATAATTGTCTAAAATTGGATGTTCTGGAAAAATTGAGTTTACTACAGTAATTAGAATTACTCAACAGTTATTAACAGAGATTTCTAAGGTCTGTCAAAATATCTCAATCAATTTCAGTGATCTAGATGTAGCATAAGTGAGATAGTGATTGATAACCTAGTATACCATTTGTATGAAATCTTATTTTGTTTATCTGAACAGATGTTGTCCATTGGAGCATTCTTAAATTATCTTTATTTTATGCTACCAAACATACCAAATTGATGGAGCTCCCAGGAAGGACGTCATGAAACTGGTTCAACAGCAACAGCTTCCATAACCTGTCCAGTTCGGCCTTGGGGTACTCGAAACCAGGATCTTTCAGGTGAGCCATGGTGCTAAGTGTCTCCAACTCTTGCAGCCAGATCTCACACTGGCGATTGTATTTCTTCACCTGATAGAGGACGGACAATATAACACAGAGAGGATTCAACACTGGGCTCTCACACTGGAGATTGTACTTCTTCACCTGATAGAAGGTGGACAAAATAACACAGAGCGGATGCAACAATGGGCCAATGTAAGAGTATGATGAATGAGCACAGATAATATTTTACACTCACCTTAGCCCATGTGGTGTATGTTCCATTGTGCATCTCCAGGTAAAGTTCTCCCCTCCATTTACACAACAGTTTTGTATTCTCCTGTTCAATGGATGAGAAGAACTCATCAGAGCTGGTGAACTTAACCCTGAGAAGAAATATTCAAATGAAACTCAGTTTTATAAAACTGTTTCAAATGTGAACTGATTTTTATAAAATTGTTGTCAAATTGTTAATTTCAAATGTACACATGTTGTTTATATAGTACTTGAAAACTAAAGAATACAAGAGACACTACTAAAGAATACAAGAGAAGCTACTAAAGAATACAAGAGAAGCTACTAAAGAATATAAGAGAAGCTACTAAATTAACTCAATTCAACAAATTAAGGTAAAGAATTCATAGAAAAGAAATTAAAATTACTTTGGTATCCCATCACAGTCTTTCAGTCTTGTGAGTCTTTGCAGCATTTCTTCACTACAAAGGAGAATGAAAGAAAATAACAAATTTTATACAAGAGGCTCTGTTACCAGGACAAAAGGACAAATAACGACCTCTCCATTTTCACAAGAGGTTCTATTACATGGACAAAAAGACAAAGAATAATCCCTCCATTTTCACAGAGGTTGTGTTCCGTGGACAAAAAAAAACGATCCCTCATTTTCCTGACAGAGAAATAAATTAATAAAATCTAAAACATACCTTGGACCGTGTCCTCCATCTCCATAGCCATAAAGGAATGCCGATCGATTGGAGCGTCCTTTATCCCTGAAGTTTCTTGTTGTTTTCAACATCTTTTGTGAATAGGAATAAAACTTTTTTTAGCATAGTTTTTAAACAGTTTAACACAGGGCTTCAATGTGTTTTCTTTTTAACACATCCCATCTGTGTGTTGAGTAGTTGGTTGGAAGAAATATGGGATAAATAAATTATGCTGATATGAATCTAAGACAACATTAAAACTAATGGCTGAAACCAAAAAAAAAAAAAAACCTAGACATTTATCTGCCATAACATTTATTTTTGGCTTTGGTATTTCAAAACAGAGTTGCACGTTTAAAAAAAAAAAAAAAAACACACAAAAAAAAACACCCCCCCCCCCCCCCCCCAAAAAAAAACCCATGTGAAACACATTTTATATCATTTTCCCAATAAATCCCTCATTTAAATTCTCAGACCTGAGAGCAGAGCCTCCATAAAAATATGGATGCTTATATTAGAGGCTTATATTGATTATTATGCGTTCCCAAAAATCAATTATTCAACCATTTCTCACAGCAAGGTTACAATGGAATGATATTTACAAGATGATTAAGCAAAGTTGTAGCAGGCTCATATATATTTTAGAACTGACAAAGCAGATCTTTTTTCCCTGTCCAACTACCAGAAGTTGGGACCAGGCCTTAAACCCAGCACAGCACCAAATTGTTATATTGTAATATCATTATACTGGTATCAGACTATAATGCTGTCTCCAGTTACCCAAACCTGTTGGTTGATATTGATAGAAGAACACACAGATGCAAAGCTAAAGGGACATGAGTTTTGATTGTCAATGGCAAATACTGGGATAATAAATGTGAACGGTTTATCCCCTTTTGGAAATGACATTTATCCCCCCCCCCCCCCCCCTTTTTTTTAATCTCAGAAGAATGCAAATATTTTGTGGATTTTTGTTATTCAATTAACATATTAAAAACTACATCGGATCACCAGAAATCAGATAATGATTTGCTAATCATTGAGACAAAAAAATCTCCACAAGATTAAGTTCTCATACCTCTTCAACTTTTCCTACCATATTGTAACTGTCACCAGGAGGAAAATGGGCCAAGATGGTGCTCCCATCTATACCCTCCCAGTGGAATGTGTGGTGCTGAGGAAAGAATGAAGTATTGACAGGGATTCAGAAGCAGGGGTCAGCAAGGGTTTAAAAAAAAAGCACCAGCAGAAGGTGAAGGACGACTAGCCACATAAGAGCAGGTACCTCATTGACCCTCCCAGTCATGTGATAGCTGTCACCTGGTGGAAAGTGGGCCAGTATGGTGGAGCCATCAATGCCTTCCCAATGAAACGTGTGGTGCTAGAAAACAATCAAACTACAATAGCAAAACTGTCAGGCAGAGGTTCTAAAACTTTAGTATGATGTTTTAACTGAAATGCAGTGGTTCTAATACTTTATGATGTTTTAACTATAAGGCAGAGGTTCTAATACTTTAGTATGATGTTTTAACTGTCAGGCAGTGGTTCTAATACTTTAATATGATGTTTTAACTATCAGGCAGTGGTTCTAATACTTTAGTATGATATTTTAACTCTCAGGCAGTGATTTTAAATACTTTAGTATGATGTTTTAACTGTCAGGCAGTGATTTTAAATACTTTAGTATGATACTTTAACTGTGAGGCAGTGATTTTAAATACTTTAGTATGATGTTTTAACTGTCAGGCAGTGATTCTAATACTTGATTATGATATTTTAACTGTCAGGCAGTGATTTTAAATACTTTAGTATGATGTTTTAAAGTCCATTTTAAAATCTAGAGGTCACCTAGTGATGCTTCAATGAATTTTTTTTTGTCGTCATATAAGTCAAACTGATTCATGAGTCTTACAAGTAAAAATCACATTCTAACATCTCTATTTCTTAATTAATTCTTTTTCAAAACGATACTCCTACGACAACAACATGTTTAATAATGTGTGTTTTACTATGAACATTACATTTTCCTTAATTTCTCATCTTTATTTGATCTAACTGGTGCTGCCTACAGATCTTATTTCATCTCACTGCAATAGCTGTAATTTACAGTCAGTGTTAAAGTATCAATAAGTGGTTTTTAAAGTCAAAATCTATTTAAACTCACAGGGAATTTGTTGACCAAACTCCAGCTCAGTTTCTGAGTGAGGAAACGTGTCACGCCACAATGTCTCATGATCTGAGGGAATTGGGCAGAGTAGCCGAAGGTGTCTGGAAGCCAGAACTGGAGGAAATTAAACTCTTCATTAGCGACAACACATGTGGGAGGTGAGCTGATATAAATTCAGTGTTATCAACTTTCACCTTCATTAAAAAGTACTAGATTAAAATTTTAATATGTACGAATTCTTACATTAGTCTTCACCTAGTATTTTAGTCTTTATCGTTTTCTGTTTGCAGCTATCTTTATTTTTATTGCTCTTATAAGTGTTACATTATCATTGTATTGTATTGTCAATGTTACGTCCTTTTTGTTATCATTGCATGAAACCAGTGTTTATTGTACTCATGATATCAGAAGCCATGTTGTTTTGTTTTTGTAACCTTCCATTAAGAATCTAGACAGGAAACTGTGCAGATGGGTTAGCTGTCTTCGTGTTAGGTATAGTAACACTAGATATAATAATACGCCCCCCCCCCCTTTTCAAGTGCACAGTGACTGTACACTAAATTATATGTCATATTATGTGTTAAATGTTTTTTAAAATTTTGAAACTCTTTTATTTTCAATGATATCCTAATTAAGGCAGTTAGACAATTTGTTTCGTAGTTATTGACAATTTTCCAATGAAGCAGGATTCTCTTTTTTTCATCCATCAGAATTTAAGGCTATTCAATAAGTGGCAGAAAACTAAGAAGGCAAAGATTTTATAAATGTATTATATTCATAGAGAATTCAAGATGTCACCTCTTTACAGTGCACCCCAAATTCCTCCTTGAAGAACTGTTGTCCATAGAGGAACTGTCTTATACAGGCCTCCCCACTGGGAATGTTGCCGTCCTGTGGAGTTCAAGCAGACCGTCAGCGACTCATTAAATATTGATATAATAGATCATGACTTTAAAGACACCTGTCAAGGTCATGAAGTCAGCTGTAGTGGGTGTGGGTGTGTTTTGAATTGTGGGGTTTGTGAGCGAAGGTCAACTGTTTGCACGTCACGGCAAATGATAATTTGAGTCACGAGTTAATGAAATGTTGGGGGTATAAAAGGGGGAGCAACTTTTGACACGGAGAGTCGCAGTCTTAGGTTAACGGAGATCCAGTGAACTTGGATCTTGGAGTTAGAGAGTGAGATAGGACTTGCGACAGCGAGACGTGTTTTGAGAAAGTGGATTCGCTGGGATATGTGTAGCGGAGGGGAAGATTGTCCTAAACAAGATGGATGCATGAAACCACTGTAATATGAACCTGTTTTGATGTGGTAATATGAAATAAATAAATGTCTGATGTACCAAAAGCTTCGTGTTGATTCATTAACTATAGTCCTTTGTTGAGAATCATCTACACCCTAGACAATGCCCAAATATTCAACAACGAGAATATTTGACACCACACAATACATCACTGGGTCAAAAGGTGGACTGTGGATTGCTTCAGTGCAAATGGATTATTGCAGTGGGACTAAATAAGTGGGATCTAGTTAGAAAGTAAGTATCATTTATTATGACATAAAGGGAAAAGATTCACTTCTGGAAAATGTCATGATTCTTAGTGAAAAATGCAAACAGAGAATTTTAATAAAACATGATGCACTGTGGCAAACATTAAATCCACAGAGATAATTAGAAAAACTTTATCCCAATGCAAACAGGCAGGCCTAATCTACAACTCTCACTTTCATTCAGCAGCCATATTCAGCATCATCTCACCGACTGACATCACTCAGCAAACAAGCTTGTCCAACAGATACATTTCTTTCAAGATAAACAGTTTCCCCAATACACCAACACATTCCAACCCAGATGAAAAAGGCTAGTTTACAATTTCTACCCTGAAACAAACCATTTTTGCCCTGGAATATACTCATGAATTCTGACTAGGCACTTGCTTTCTACGGAGGTACAAAATCACCATTTCTACCCAGGTAAAAACTTACCATTTCTACCCAGGTACCACCCACAGGTACAAACTGACCCTTCTGTACAAACTTGCATATGTCCTTCCAGATACTGGGATAATGCTCCTTCACCCAAACATATTGCTGCGCCTGCAATAAAATAACTCATTATACATTCCACACTTGAAAAAAAAAAACAACAACTGAATTCTATATTTAGTAAGACTTTTCTTACACACAATACAACTTGAAAGGTAAAAGCAAAAGTATCAATGTTCAACATAAAAAAACAAACTTGGCCTAACACAGATCAAATATCATGTAAAAAAGAAAAAAGAAAAAAAAAAAAGGACAGAAAAGAAGTGTTTCAAGAATAATTCCCAGTAGGTAATTAGTTTCTGTCGACCTCCCGGCAGCTGATGTTTGAGCGTTAGGTTGAGACACAGTGCAGTAAGGGGAAAAGCAGATTTTAAAGCAAAGACAAAACAGGAGGGAAATTTTTCTCTTGAGACGCCCGGGGGGGGGGGGGGGGGGGGGGGTGAGGGCCTGGGGAAGGGGGGAAATAATCGCAACTTTGTGGTTTATAAGCAAGACATGTATTTATCATTGAGGATATTGGGTGATGTGAGGGTGTGTGTGTGGGGTGGGCAGGGTGGCAGGACGGAATGTTGGGGATGGGAGGTGTAATGAGGGGAATAGATTCAACATTGATCTCATGATGATTTAGCTGTAAGATAATACAGGGATATGAGTGATTTCCAGGTTGACTTGTATGTCTGGGGGGCTGAATGAGTCACAACTGGATCAGGTAAGGTCATTATAAAATGGTGCCAGGTTCGATTTACAGGGTTTTGAGGTGGTACTCTTGAAATGACAGTGGATGACCTAAATTTTGAAGTGGCACTCTTGAAATGACAGTGGATAACCTAATCTTTGAAGTGGCACTCTTGAAATGACAATGGATGACCTACACTTTGAAGGGGCCCTGTTGAAATGACAGAGGATAACCTACATTTGGTGTTTTGGAATAACTCACCTGAGAGCATGTGAATATGAAGTCTGGGTATTTTTCCATGAGTCGCAATGTACATGACCATGACCTTGCACACTTTCGTATCGTTTCAGCATAAGGCCACAGCCAGGCTGATGAAAGAAAGGGGGGGACAAGCATGGGTACAGGAAAAGGAAAACAGGTGCTTGGTTATCACATGAAGAAGTCTTTCAAAATTTAATAAAAGAAGGCAGTTGTCTTGTTGAGCCATACCTGGTTTAGATAACCCATTAAATACACAGCACAAGTTCCCTTCACTCAAAATTACAGAATTATTTAAAATAGCTTTTCATCAAATACTTTCATAAGAGACAGACAATTTTTTTTCTCATTGGCTATTATGTATCCTTTTTTAAATTATTAATTTTATCGGATTGATTGACAAAATTTTGTTTAAGAATATGAATCCAAGGTTCTTAAACTTGAAAAGCTTGAGGAGGACAGTTAAGTAAAATAAAATTTGAGGAGCAATTTAGCATAATTGTTTGGTATGGATCAGTCCTAAATGAGCAATTTAGCATAATTGTTTGGTAAGGATCAGTCCCAAATGAGCAATTTAGCATAATTGTTTGGTAAGGATCAGTCCCAAATGAGCAATTTAGCATAATTGTTTGGTAAGGATCAGTCCCAAATGAGCAATTTAGCATAATTGTTTGGTAAGGATCAGTCCCAAATGAGCAATTTAGCATAATTGTTTGGTAAGGATCAGTCCCAAATGAGCAATTTAGCATAATTGTTTGGTAAGGATCAGTCCCAAATGAGCAATTTAGCATAATTGTTTGGTATGGATCAGTCCCAAATGAGCAATTTAGCATAATTGTTTGGTAAGGATCAGTCCCAAATGAGCAATTTAGCATAATTGTTTGGTTTTGTTGCATGTAGCCCTATGGCTAAATAGAAAAAAAACTATTTCAAAACACTACAAACTAAAAGCATTTATTAATAGCAAAGATTAGTCAGAATAAGCCCAAGCTTGTATTGCAGACAAAGTTTAATTTGTATTATTTTGATGTCTAGGATTTTGTGTGTGTGTACACATCTCCAAAACTAAATTCAAGGTCCCACAGATCTCAGACAGCACCTGCTCTCAGTGACTTTGGCAATGATAGTTTTCACAATGGTATACCAGCATGCCTTTAGGTGAAAACCATTCATAAGAGAATACTGACGCTTTATCCACATACCTGTGTCTATATGGGTGTTGCCCATGGCATAGAGGGTATGTTGACTCAGATCATTCCTCTGACTGACATTTTATCCACATACCTGTGTCTATATGGGCATGGCCCATGGCATAGAGAGTGTGTTTACTCAGATCATTCCTCAGACTGACATCTTATCCACATACCTGTGTCTATATGGGCATGGCCCATGGCATAGAGAGTGTGTTGACTCTGTCCATTCCTCTGAGTGAAGAAATGCTCAGCTATTTCCTGGACCCTGTGTATAGAAAGTTGACATTGTGGCCACATTAAGGCAACAACTGACTTGTCTAGAGAATCAAAATTTTAAAATGATTAGTAATGGGTTTCTGTTTATCTACAAAAACTATTTGATATCTATCTGATCTATTACTTGTCCAGTAGATCTTAGGGCAAAAGTTGACATGGTCTGCTGAAACAAAATAATCTCTCACCTCCTGAAGGTGCTCTTGTCAGTCACATCCAGTTGATTCATGATGTCATTGACAGCGTACAGAGCTTGATAGCCCCGCTGGTCATCTTCAGGGAGTTCCTAGCGGATCAGCATTTCATGATACAGTTTTTCAAACAGCTAAACCTTAATTGACCTCTTGTCTAAGGGCAATGGATTTAACATTTTAACAAACCTGTTTGCCAGGAAACAAACATTTATGACGTGTTTATTCTAAATTTTAAACATTCAAACTTGGTAAAGGATTTAAAAGTTGAATCTCAGCACTACTTATTGTTTTAGAGGACCACCTATTTGTGAAGTACTTATTGTTTTAGAGGACCACCTATTTGTAAAGTACTTATTGTTTTAGAGGACCACCTATTTGTGAAGTACTTATTGTTTTAGAGGGGCACCTATTTGTGAAGTACTTATTGTTTTAGAGGGGCACCTATTTGTGAAGTACTTGTTGTTTTAGAGGACCACCTATTTGTGAAGTACTTATTGTTTTAGAGGGGCACCTATTTGTGAAGTACTTATTGTTTTAGAGGGGCACCTATTTGTGAAGTACTTATTGTTTTAGAGGACCACCTATTTGTGAAGTACTTATTGTTTTAGAGGACCACCTATTTGTGAAGTACTTATTGTTTTAGAGGGGCACCTATTTGTGAAGTACTTATTGTTTTAGAGGGCCACCTATTTGTGAAGTGCTTATTGTTTTAGAGGACCACCTATTTGTGAAGTGCTTATTGTTTTAGAGGACCACCTATTTGTGAAGTACTTATTGTTTTAGAGGGGCCATCTTTGTGTACACTGCTCATCATTGTCTTAAATGGACCACCTTTTTAAAAATCCTTTATATTAACTTGGCTTTTGTTGTTGGGCGGCTGGAAAAATCTTCGGACGGCCAACTGACCCACTTCCCATCAACCTATTGGGCTGAAACTTGGCACATAGACTTGTTGCTGATGACAACACTTTCTATCAGATTTTTCAGGCTCAACCTCCAAAATTAGCTTCTCTGTTTTCCAAGGGGAACATGAAGGAAAATTCTAGATAACTGCGCTAAATGAGATTCTTTTAAAAAAATATCGCAAGTGCGTTTGATGATATTTTATTTGTTTTTCCGAAATAGTTGGTGAAATAAATCTGCTGTGTAAAAGTGGGTGGGTCATTAGAATATTAATTTAGTTCAGGGGCATGAAAAAAATGTGCATTTGCGAGCCTTGGGGGGGGGGGGGGGTTGGGGCACTAATTGGTATTTTTATAAAGTGGGTTACTTTTATGAATGCTTTTTCGAATGTTCAGCCACATTTTTTGATTTTACATTTTATAAAGGATTTTTACTAAAAACTTTAAAAGTGGGTGGGTCATTAGAATATTAATTTAGTTCAGGGGCATGAAAAAAATGTGCATTTGCGAGCCTTGGGGGGGGGGGGGTTGGAGCACTAATTGGTATTCTTATAAAGTGTGTTACTTGTATGAATGCTTTGTCGAATGTTCAGCCACATTGTTTGATATTACATTTTATAAAGGATTTTTACTAAAAACTTTGTTTTTAAGGGTTGTTTACTTATCATTGCTTTAGAGGGTACACCTTTTGGTAAACTGTAATTATGACTTTGATATGTTTTAGATACTTTTAAGAGACCTGTCAACTATGAAATATGATTCGATTTGTAATGTTTTGCTGGACCACCTTTTAAGGACTACTGGTCTAGATGAGCAGTTTTCAGTCCCATGGGCATGCAGAAACTTATCTCAAGGTGAATCTGGATCACATAGTAGAGTAAGTTCCAGAGACGACTTGTGGGCCTATAGCAGATGTGTTAACTGGTAACGGATCTACAATTTTTATTTTGCAATTAAGATTTAAAATTTATGCACTAGAAACTGTCCATGAAATATTTCTCGTAGTTTTATTGGTCAACAGTTGTAAAAAAAATTGTTTCCTTTAAAAATCATGGTTCACATGAATAAGAAAACTGTAATCCAAAATAGTGTGGTGATTAACACAACAATAATCCAACATTGGTGTTAATAAGGCAACAATAATCAAACATAGTGTGGTGATTAACACAACAATCATCAAACATCCTTTAATTGTGATTACCTTGGCAATATCATGGAGAGTTTCGACATCCAAAATCAGATTGAAAACATCTCTGTCGAACACAGCCACCTCAGCCTGGTTCAGGGTGAACCTCTTCTGGTCATCCTCAGGTGTCACGATGGCCACATTGCCAATGCCGAACAAGTGGTTGCAGGCCATCTCTATGTAAATGGTATGCCTGCAGGGTTGTAGGGACACAAATGATTTCTCTTATAAAGTTATTGCTGCTTATAAAATTTAAAAAGAAACAAACAACCAGACAGCTTCTCAACTTTCTGTGTTATAATTTTACACTTAATTTCAACAGCTGTTGAAGGAACAATGTGGTGTTTGTAAAAATGTTAGGGTACTGCAAGATACAAAAAATAAATTAGCCAAATGGAACTAGTCATCTCTTTCATGAATTAAATAATGCCAAGTGGAAATGACTTAAGTTTATTGTTATGTTACTTCAACTCAAGCTTTGCAAAGTCAATCGCAGGGATTCTCTCTCACACACACAAACAGACACACACACACAAATGTGGGAACGAATAAATGTCCAAACACAAAGAACCTCAACATTTTAGTTTTAGAATGGGAACTCTCCAGATATTTTGCTGAAAAGGAGGTCCGAGGACAATCTGATGTTAACAAAAATAAATATATTCCATGCTAATGTAAAGCATTGGTAATCAAACTTACTGTAAGTTAGAGGAACTCAGCTTTGGGGACAAGATGTAACTGATTCTGTCATTGTCTGCACTCAGGCCCTGAGATGAGGGTGTGGAAGGGGGAATGTTATAAAAATTAAAAATTTAATGGCTGACTTATGTCAAGCTTAAGTAGAATGAAGTAGAACACTAAAAGCTGCACTACAAAGTGGAGAAAGTCAATAAATGAAACAATATTATCATAAAATTTGTAAAATGGGTTTCACAAATTAAAAAAAAAAGTAAAAAAGCTTCTAAACAAAAAATAAATTACATTTCTAAACTGCGTGAACTCTAATATATTTAACTTAAAATGAATTTCAATATCAAACAGTACAAATAAAACAATATTATATTTATTATATTATGATCAAATTTGTATGAAATGATTTCATAAATTAAAAAAAAACAAAAAAACATTCAGCTTCTAAACAAAGGATAAATCACATTACAAACCGCATGAACTTTAATATTTTTAACTTAAACTGAATTTCAAATTAAACCATATCAAATATTACAAAATGAGATGAATATAAAATTTTCACACTATGATTCATAATCTTCCAGATACTACCACTATGAGAAATAAAAGACAAATCTACCTGCTGTGGTTCTCCATTGACCCAAACTAAAGCTTCAGTGCCAGAGTTCCACAGCAGGTGTACCTCCTGACCTTTCCAAGCTACTGGGATGTTGATGACAAGCTCAAACCAGTGAGTGCTCCACCTGGGATAGAATTAAACCAGTGAGAGATGTAACAAGGAAAGTGGTAAAATAGTGGTAAAAGAAACAACCACATAAGTTATTGCTTCTTTTAAAAAATAATCATATCAAAGAAAACTTCATCTAAAAAAAAAAATCACATTGGACAATGCTCCATCTCAGATAGACTAATTTTTGCATCTGCTCCAGCTGGGATAGAATCACAAGCCATTAGTGAATGCTCCATCTTTGATAGAAACAAATTAGTGAGTATAGAAATATTTCAGCAGATTTGAAAGTTTAAAACAAAAGTGATCAACTGCCTTACACTGGACCAAATGATTGTCCAATACTTGCAGGTTCATAATGTCCTTCCAAGGCTTTCTGGTAAGTGATTCTGTCAGGTGCGGCATAATGCTTGATGGATGTTAGGGGGGCTTTCTCTCTGTACAGCCTGAAAACAAAAGTATCAATGTCACAGAATAAGTTTAATCTACCGACAACTCAAAGAATTAAATAGTTCAAGATAAATAATGACAATTATTGATAAAAAATATTACTCCCTTAAAATGTGTAGTTTGATTGAGAAATTTTAAATACATTTTTCTTCAAATAATTGGAAAGTCACTCTAATTACCCAACAGGTTTCAATGTGTATTTTACAAATTTTACAGAGTAACATCAAAGCAGTGTCATTACAACTTCCAAATCCAAAACATATTATCTAATACCTGTGTTATTGCAGTGTTCACCCCAAAAAACCCATCACCATTTTTATATCACTTATATAGGTGATATTTTTTTAGGTATCAATTTTTTAATAATTAATAATAACACTCTCATTGTTGTTTTATTTTAATATAACACAGTATGAACGAAAAAAAAATTCATTTCTCTTACCTCCCCCGCAAGTTGACATCAGTGAAGTACAAATTAGATATAAACTTTTCTGCCCTTTCTAGAGTTGTCCTCTTGTGTTTGAATGTCACATGATCCATAGTAGACTGATTTGCACTGAGCTTTGTGGCTCTTGTAAGGAATAGGTTTAATTAAAACAGTTATTTAACTTACTAAGATGAAGAAAGTTTAATTAAAACGCCATGTCACTATAAATATTAATAAATTGTTTTGAGACGACTAACATAATGACACTCAGTCTCATACCCAAGTCTGCATAAAATTATTGGTACTTGCAACAACAAAACCGTTCCACATTAACTAAAACAAACTCATGTTTGTTGCATAGATCTTGCTGGAATGAAAACTTGAGGCCCTAGAGATAGAGACAAGAGTATAGGCTAAACAGTGGAGCCTAATTTTGGTCTTATCATGAGTACAAAAATTGTACTTGAGCCTTCACTTCAGCAAATGATAGGTGATAACTGATGTCCTGACGAAGGCTTTTTATACTTGAAAATAAAACGTTAAAAAATTAACCTAACTAGAATAATGTTTGAATAAACACTTTTTGTACCAGGGATTTGGAGTTAAGCTCAGAGCTGGAACTTGGAGCTCTGGAACAGCGTCTTTTTTCCTGGCCCTTGAGCAGCTAAAATTTCTTACTGCTCTGAGCTTCAAAATTTCTTAATAAATTTTATTTTTTAACGTTCTTAAAATTATAATTTGTACTTAAAAATGTTTTCATTAATTTATAAAAATTGATGCCCTATTTTTCTACCAGCTATGTTGCCTCACACTTCCACCAGTCATGTTGCCCCACTCTTTTAAAGCCATGTTGCCACCACTCTTACGCCAGCTATCTTGCCATAATCTTCAACAACTATGTTGACCTACTTTTCTACCTGTTATGTTGTTGGTAACTGCATATCTAATGCCTGAGGTAAAAGATGGGTAAATGACAATAATAAACACACTTTTTAAAACACTTAGCATCCCCTTCAACCACTCCTCTCCTAAATAAAGCCTGCTCTAAATCCTTGGTTTGAACACCATCTTCACAACTATTTTTAAACTTATAGCTTAAGGGGCCATCCATTATCAACATCACACAATTTTTGACAAAAAAAAAAAAATTTCCCCCCCCCCCCCCCCCCCCAAAAAAAAAAACCTTTCAATCTTATAGATTAATAGTGATTATATCTTTCCAATCACTTTTATGAATAACATAGGTGGAGGAAAGGGGCAGTCTGCACTTTTTTCTTTTAAATGGAGGGGCAGCATTTTCTGCTGACTGCTTAGTTTTTTTTATGGAAAAAAGGGGGTGCGGGTGGCTAAAATCTTGGCTGACCCTGGTAGCACTAAGGAGTTGACTGACCCCAAATGTGTATTTAATTTTGTTCTGCAATCTGATTCCTAGTCCTATTATATTTTGTTAAAAGATGTTTGCTGTTCCAATTGTCTTCAAATGAACAAAAATTAAATTATTGGAAAAATTATAGGTATATAAACATTTTTATTTAAAATTGATGCAATATAGGCTAATCAAATTAGGCTAAATTTTAATGTGCTTCCATGCTATTTTCTATCTATATCAATAAATATATTATTTAGTGGTGTCTAGGCTATATTACTAGACCTATGTCCTATGATAGCCCTTTACCATAAACTATATAGGCATATAGGCCCTATATATAAGAAAGAGCTAATGTAGATACTAACGCTCTAATACTAATGTAGATGCGTAACGCTGCTAATGTAGATGCCTAACACTGGATTCTTTAAAAACAATGGTAGTGATTTTGTATTATTTTATGGAGATCAAATCAATTTACATAAGGTATGATAAAGACGAAAGTATATCTGCATTCGAGCCATTTATCATAATTTATTATGAATAAGAAATCTACTATAGTATTATTTAAGTATTATTATTAATAATAATTCTCTATGTAAGTTCAGGGGTGTGAAAAAGTGTTGGGTGGGTCACTATTTATTATAATTCATTATTCATATAGAAGATGAAAATTTATCAAAACCCAATTGTGTTATTATTGTTATATTAAAAACGTAAATGTTACAATTTATATATCATAATGACAAATGAATATGATACTTCCCAGTACGCCTCTTCTTCTTCTATATATTAAGTTATTAAGTTTAAGGGCCCACGATCAACTTATTTTACTATAATTTAGTATAATTTACTATGCTATAAATATAATTTTTTAAAAATTTAATTGACTAGATCTTTAGTTAAGTTTCCACCATCAATCATGCCTGCCATTAGCCATTCATATTAATTAGTGATTAGGCCTATTAATATTTTGTTATTTATTTAACATTAAGTTTAAGTAAAGTAGGTTTAGTGCTCATTTGCCATTGATGTAGTTTGTAGTATGGTTGTTGTAGTGTTCCCACAATCATTATTTTGCCACTTTTATTAATTTATAACTATAATACTATACTACTCGTCCACCTAAAATAACTATAACTTAAACCTTATCTGTCTAACTAAGCCACTGACCGGCAGTGTTAGTGTTACTAAGCCATGGCAAGTGCCGCCTTGGCTATGCTATACTTAGACTATACTAATACTATTAATAAAACATCTTGATGTCTTATTTTCTGCAACAATAAACACTAGTTGACATTAAATTTAAGTAAACAAACAGTCCACATTCATAACCTATGATTATGATTTACAGTACAGAATTTTCCCAATAGTTTAGTTTTAGTATCACATTAATAATTTAATTAATAAAGTGGGTAATCCCCTTGTTATGGTAAATAATTGATCGTGCTTAAGTAAAGGATTACCGATAAACTTAACTAATTTTGTCAATTTTACTATACCTAATTTAGTTTTAAACTTGATGATGGAGAATAGTTGAGTTAATGTTTCAACTGAGCTCAAAATTCACCTTTAACCTCTTAACCCTTAACCTCATAGATAATCCGTGTCCAGGTATTTATAAAATTTGTTCATAAGATTATGGTCCAAAGGAAACGAAATCTTATTCAATCGTTAATGCCAAATTCCAATCACCACAGTCCGTATATTTAATAATATCTTTTAGAACATTGTATTTATTAAACTTTAATTGGAGATTACCATTATAAAAAGGGGGGATGTGCACCAATAATTGGTGGCGGTTTCATTTTCAAATCCTACTTCATACTCTTACTCTTTCAGTAGATTATTTGCACATTTCAAACTTCAAATAATAGACGTCTTAGTGTTGAAAGAGTACATAAAAAAAAAAAAAAAAATAGTTCCGCCCATGCTGAAGCCCCTCAAGAGGCTTGAGCATGGGCACAACTATTATATAACTCGAAAAAGGAAGTCGCCCAAGGGGCCGTCCATAAAGTACGTCACGTTCCAGAGGGGGGGGGGAGAGGAGGTGTAAGAAAGTGTGAAAGTTTGTGACAGGCGGAGGGGGGGGGGTTCAGGCCAATGTTCCCTTTAAGCTGCGCGGCTGTGTGGCCGCGCAGCAATCTCACAATCGCCGCGCAGCAGTTTTGAGTACCGCGCAGCTAATTTCCACTTAAGTGTCTGTCGGCTGTAAAATTTTGCACACAAAAAAATTGATGCTGTAAAAATGTGCACACAACTTTATGATTTTGCACACGAACCAACAAACCTTAGAGGGAACATTGGGTCAGGCCATGTGTGACGTCACACATTTATTTTTTTAAATTTTATTTCTAATTTATTGTTTATTTTTCTAGTAGAATTTAATAGCTTTAAAAATAATTTTCAAAAATTTTGTGAAACATTTGAATTAGTTTTATGTCAAAATAGCATAAAATGCGTATCTCCTGAATGTGTTGTTCACGATTCCTCTCGCTAGGAGCGCTAGTATGCTGTTGCGAAGCCTTGTTTTATGTATAGCCTTGCCGAGATCAACAGGAGTTTTCAAAGTACAACCATATGATCTTCATTGTCCATCTTTGCATACCAGCTTACTTGATCGAATTTGCAAAGTATGTCACTTATACTTTGCCTCACAAACAATGTCAAAGAAACATGCAGGACAACACAGAGCTCGGGCTCGGGAGAATGTGCCAACCCAAACTGTTCCAGAATCAACTCAGATAAAACGCATCAGTCCTTTGAGAATCGCAGCTAGAAGGCAAAGAGAACTCATGGCAGTTATTACCAGAAGAGAAAATGCACATTCAGAAGATGACGAGAGGCTACATAAGGATGAAGTTGATCTGTCTGCAATTATCCTTCCAAGAAACGATGATGGTGAAAGATTGATGCCAGTCGTAACTATGGATGAACACTTCACTTCACCATGAATGGATGATGTCCAGTGAATATTTTTGAATTAAACATAATTCACAGGCCCATAATAAACAGATTCAATATAGCACACGAGTTTGTCACATAATTTGTCAATCTAGTCTTTTTTTAGTCAAATTGTTTTGTTTCCTTTTTATTATGTAATCACTGGGTGAGGTCAAGTTTCGCTAATCTAAGACGCTTATCGTGTGTTAAAAGATTGTATAATCGGAAATTATCTAAAACTTGACCTTACCTTTTGTAAATGAAAAAGCAGCAGACAAATGATGTGTATTATATAATTGTCTAGTCTAATTTTTGCAATTTTTGTTTTCAAATTCAATTTAAATTGAGTTACTGCTTCAATGAATCACTGTGACAACTGTTGACAATTAACTATTCTACTATTAAAGTAATTTTAATAATGTGATAGTTCTTTTAAGTGGAAATTTTATATTTTAATACAGTTTAAAGTGAAGTGTGTTTTATAATAATTTTAATTAGGTGTTAATTTTTTTTTAATTTGTTCGAAAGTGTGACGTACTTGGGGGTGGGTAGGGGTGTTAAAAATGGTCAAAAATAGCGTGACGTACTTTATGGACGGCCTCTTATGTTTATTTTTATTTATTTATTTATTTTAGAAAATTCCTTTTTTTTTTTAAATACATTTTTTATTGTTGTTAAAGTTTGACTTCCTTTTCTTGTCTAATTTCTTTTTTTGTTATATCTCATTTTTTTCTGGATTGATGTTAAAATACAAAATTATGCTTAAAATCATTCACCAAACATATTCACTATCAAGATTTTATTTGCTTTTGTAAATTTGTAGTTATTTCTTGCCTATACCCCGTTTTGTTATGTTTCATATTTAACCAAAAAAATAATTAATTGATTAATTAAAAAAAAAAACAATTTAAAAAAAAAATAATAGTCAATGTTCCCTCTAAGGTTTGTTCTCTCGTGTGTAAAATCATACAGTTGTGTGCAAAGTTTTACAGCATCAATTTTTTTGTGTGCAAAATTTTACAGCCCACAAACATAAACACACACTTACAAG